ACGTCAGAATTCAAATTGGTTTCTAAATGTTGCGTCTCAGGTTGCCGTTCTTTTTTTTCCAGTGACACACGCCTGAAAATACACAACACAAAACATGACTGGAACTAAGTCCATTCTACAGACACTGACCTAAAACTTGGTTCTCTATCAGCCGGGACTGAGCTCTAACACATTCTAACCAACAACAGATCGAACAAGATTTTTATTTAGAATTTTGTCTGTAGTCGGAGTCAATCCTGTTTGTCTCTTAAAGCAAAATAACTCATGAACCACCATCCATCCATCCATCCATCAATCCAGATTCAAACCGGCAACCTGCTTCCTGGGAGGCACCAGCTCCACCAACTGAGCCCCATGCTGCGCTCATGAACTACTAGATCATTTGTAACAAAGTGATCAGTCAGTGTCCAACTACAGTTGTTAACTGTTATAGCTGGTCACCACCGCTAATTTCTTTTAGCCAACACAAAAAGGCCTACGAATCAGTCACTTTTACAGATATTAGAAAAAAATTGTCTTGGTAGTAGCTGAGAGTCATTCATATTTTGCGAAAATGGCAGGCTTRTTTTACCGGTGGTCCATCAGTCTCATCTGGTCTGAGGGTGACTTTCGAATCGGCCCTTCCCCCAACCCCATCCAAAATGGAAATGTTTAAAAATATATATTTTACTTAATTTAATATAAAATGGATTTTAAATCCATTGTAATTTTTTTTAAATTTATTATTTAATGTCCGGCTTCTGATCTGTTGGCTTTGAGCAACCGTGRCCCCCACCGAGCAATTTAGTTGAACATCCCTGGCATATTGTTATTTTCCACAACTCAGCCATTTCTCAAGAGATGATCTTATTCTGAAACTCTTCTATGACAGAAGGCAGGAGATGTGCAATCCTTCAAAGTATGTTAGGACCCTTCTCTTTAATGTTTTAGACAACTTATGAAAAAAAAATCCCACTAAATTACTAATTAAAATTAGACATTTGATCAGTTTGTTAGCATTACAGTGTGTACATGCCTAAAAGAGGCCTCCAGCTTTCAACATAGAGGTCTCCAATTTTTTCATAAGTTGGCATAAGTTGTCTAAAACGTCATTGTGACAGGGCCTTTAGGCTTTTATTTTGTTTCATAAAGTTACAGGACTGCAGGTACATGGGATCAAACCCAGGAYCTCCTTGCTGTGAGGCGTCGGTGCGAACCACTGCTGTCTTCTGATGTGTATCCAGATCCAGATCTGTTTCCAGGTTGCTTTCAACTCCTCCCACAGTTTGGTGAAGCTGTGCTGGTTCATGCTGCTCTTTATGTTGCATTGTCCATAAGACAATCAGATTGGACCGACTCAAACAGAACTCTGTCCCCAAACAGAACTCACTTTAAAACGACTTAGTGAAACAAGTCAAATTGCAGCCATGATCCCAGTCCAACACCAGCACACTTGAAGAATAATTTATAACACATAACAGCCTGCAGTTGAGATGTTTATGTATTTTGGTACACGCTCTGGTTTAAAGTAGTCATGACTGTTATAAAATAAAGTTTATTCCAATGGGAAAGCCAATGAAAATATGCCTGGAGACCACAGAGTCTGCCATTTTGCTCTCAGCGAAGCAGCTCTACATTTTAACTACACATTATGTCATCGGATGATTTAGGGAAATGATTTGTGTTTGAAAACCTCACTTCACATGACAAGAGAGATTGCGCGCTAAAGAGAGCGTTCACCCATAATAAAAGGACTTCGCACAAATTTGCACAAAACCCAGTGAAAATCCATTGTTTTTTTTCCTATTCAATACCCATGTTGGGTTCACTCAGGTCAACCCAGCCGAAACCAACTTGAACGAATTTCTGCAAATATCCTTGCAAGCAACTGTGCATAACCAAACCTGTCATTTTCCCCAAGAATAGATCTGCAGTTAAAATTACAGCTGTTGAGAGGAGGAAATTTACGTTCTGTCTGCTCTTATAAGAGACCTTGAAGAAAAAAGTCCATATGGTTGCATTTACAGGCCGATGAAAGAGGAATCTTTAATAATACACAACATACAGCAAAATGTTCAATCCCTGGAAGGGCCGGGTGACAAACATGACTGCAACCGGAGACCATGGAGAATATGAAGCATTGATGGAAGAATTTAAATTATGTCGTCAGGGCTGATTTGTAATAGCCGATGTGTTAAGAAACTTTTATCAGACATTGGAAAAATGTTAGTTGATTTTGACTTCTTTTCTGTGTTGTCCACCCATCAGCTCTTGAGAGTCCTCTGCTTCAGGAAGTAAATGCTGCTTTAGGACTTTGGCAACCTCCTGGGTGTTTGAGACTCGCCGAAAGCATCGTCCTAAGAACGTATGTGAAACCAACGGAACAGTAGCCTGGTTCTTGCCTTCCGACGCACTTTTGCGCAATTCTAGTTTCCCTTCTCTGCTCCGTCTTGGCTTTCTCCCATAGACAAGGATTTCTCCGGTGGAATTTCAACCGGGCCAATCAGCGAAGAGGAGGAGGAGTTGTGAACAAAGACGTTTATTTTCTGTGCCGTTCAGTCCAAGTATCCCTGGCTGCAGACTGCGGATTAGGATACCAGACGGGGTCGGACGTCCAATGGGTGTGGTCATGGCTTGTAGGAAGATTAATATGAGGCTTAAAAATTGGGTGTGGTTAATTTTAGTATTTAGCATCTGGTTAATTTTAGAGTTGAGGGCGGAGTCAGACATCCGACCCCGCCTGTTATCTGACCCCGCCCCATGCCGCGGTCTGCAGCCAGGGGTTACTCTTTCAGTCTGCTTGTAGTTTAGCAATGGCAGCAGTCCAAGGCTTCCAAATGAAATGAAATTTGTCTCACAAAGCCTGCAGAACTCATTTAAAGCCATCTCGTTCAGCTCGGTACTGCTCTGTTCCCAGTAGGGGATGGTCGTTTACAGCACACACAATTTCCTGTTAGCTTCTTAGTGTACTGTAGTTTCCTTCATGGTCGAGCTGGCACACTACTTACATCATGACCAAACGTTAGCAATTGGGTAAAGCAAATCCAATCATTTTAAACGTCAACAGAGTCCACGCCTCCAGCAAGAAGTCACTTAATATATGAGGATCTAGAGAYCCTCTGTAGGAAGCAAAGCGAAGGACAAGGGGCTGTTTTTTTTTACCAGGCTAACGGAACAGACCTGAAATTGTGAGATTCAAGGTCTTTGAAGGGGCAATATTATGTGTTTCTCAGGCATACATTTAAATACTATACCATAAGAAAGTATCTGTGTGGCCTTCAGCTGTCACTAAAATGCTGTTTTTATGTTTGAATAGAAAATAAACTTATCTTCTCATCACTTCCTCTTCTAAATGCCTTGAAATTGGCCTCTGTCTCTTGAAGAACAACCTTCCGCTTCTGTCCCGTCCATTTCAGTGCGGGGGGGCTTGCGCTGCGCTATGATGCAGTTTACTTGGCATCTGAAAATATATTTCCTCAAAGGTATTTAGAATCTGAAAAGAGCTTCACTGAGTGAGAAGTCGGGTTTGGCATTATCGTATCGTGTGCTATTAATCGTCAGAAAAATATTAATCGATTAATTTTTGGCACTTGACGATTAATACGATTCATGCCACCAGGCAGACTAACCGCTTGGTGCTCCTSTCTGATTCAAATATGACCAACATTGAAAAAAGTTGTGTAATTTATTTATCTATCAACACAATTTAAAGTTTGATATACAGTCTGAAGTCTGTAATTTTGACACAATTTGGAACAGATTTTTTACGAAGAGCCAATTTTCTCCCTATAAATTGGTCATGTGACTAGGATATAAGGGTGTCCAGGGATTCCGGGGGATTAATCGTCAAATTAATCGCTATCGGCTAAATACCACAATTAATCGTGATTAATTTTTTTGCCAATATTGCCCAACCCTAGTGAGAAGTAGTTAGCAGCTCAGCAGAGAGTTTAAGTTTCACTTTCAGTTTCACTCGTTCTGCGAGAGCCTGCAGGAGTCATGGGCGGGGTGTGTGGGGGTGTGCTCCTGATGAGGAAGCTAGGCTCGGAGACAGTCCCAGAGGCGTTCCTGTCCCAAAAGGCGTTTCTGGTCCCCACCTGTTGTTTTGCTCCTCAGCATGGCTTCCTAAAAACGCTGCAGGATTTCTCAAATATGCATAATGAGTCAAAGCAAGGCTTTGGGCACGTTTTTTTTATGAGAGTATAACATTATAACATGATATAAATCTCAAAAAAGTTGATTTTACATGATATCGCCCCTTTAAACAAAAAAAAGTTGGATGAAAGTCTTGTTTTAACTGAACAAGGCATGAAATCAATTCTCTAATAATATTGCTAAAACTCACACAAGCATAATTTGATTCAATTCAATTTACAACAGAGAAAAATGATAGGCCAAACTTAAAACATGTTTTGTGTTTTTTGGATGCTTTGTTTTCCTTCTTTTTTCCTTTTGCTTTTGTAAATCCTTGTATTTTGGTTTATGTCTCCATGTTTTCATTGTTTCTCTATTGATTTGTGCAAACGTATATTTTTTTTAGTCATCTGTAATCTGCTGGTGTAGGTTTCCAACTTTGCCTTCCTTTACTTACCTGTCAGCCATTTGTAATGAACTCACCTGCTCCCATATGGTGTGTGTCAGTGTGTGCGTGTCCATGTAGGAGAGTGGGGTTGTGTGTGTGTGTGTGTGTGTGTGTGTGTGTGTGTGTGTGTGTGT